TCAAGAAAGCTTTCTTTCGAAAATATTTTCGAAGAAAGTTGCCACCCGTTAAAAATTTAAACAATCCTACTGATATTACAAATGTGAAAGTTTGTGAGTGAGTGAGTGTAAATGTTTGTTGCTCTTTCATGCTAAAACCGCTAGACGTATTTCAATGAAATTTGGCACACTTATAGGCCATGAGCTGGATTAATATATAGGATATATATATTTTTTTTTGAAGGGGTTGCCACTTTTTTGAACGGTTAAATCAACTACTTATTAAGTTGGGTTCAAAAACGATATATTACAAAAATATTTTTGAAGAGAGTTGCCACCCGCTTAGAAATTTTAACAAGTTAAATGAAATATTTAAATAAACTAGGTGTCAAACTGGAGAGACTTTAGAAAGCTTTGCGAACTTTTACACCCCGCAACTTTGGGAAGAGTATAAAACCGCTTTTTTGAAGACATAGTCGACAGGTTTCAAGATACAGCACATGACGACATATATTACAACGAAGCTCTGAGACTAATTGAGAATAAAGTTTTTTAAAGGAGCAAAGGCAAATTTTCCATAAAATTCTGAGCCGCAAGGAGAGCGGAAAAGGGGGCCTTTCTTTCTTGGATGCCGCAGGGGAACTGGCAAAACATTGCTGCTGAATTTCATACTGCGTACTGCCTTAAGGAAATGTGGCACAAAAAAGTTTCTTAGTCATTTCCTGTGCGTCATTTTATATGGAGTTTGCTTTTCTTGAGAGCTGCGAACACTCCTTTAGTTGTGAAACTGTCAAAGAAGCCTACCGTTATGGAATGAGCAAAGAAAGCATCAGCGCCTCTCTACTACTCCATGGGAACAACTCGTAAGAGACGGGGTCTCCCACCTCAGGTTATTTCCTGGTTCAATTAAATCGTAGCTAAGCCCATGAAGTTTTATGAAAATCTCGTCAAAAATCTGGAATCAATGGCGGTCAAACCTTAAAAGCTTCCAGTGTTCTTAAGTTTGATTAGCTTCCGCCACGTCGGCAAGGAAGGTAAACATCTATTCTGATCGCCAAGCACAAATAAGGGCCCTAGGCTAGGTTAAGGTACGCTCAAAGCTAGTAGAACAATGCCTAACTTTTCTTTCTGTTTCGAGGCAGCATCATCGATAAGATAGAGAGTGCGAGAACCTATGACTATATGCAGACTACTATTGGACATATTCATGTGTAGAACTCATTTTGGTTCAATGAAGACAGAGCAAAAATTTGGATATTAACAATGGCAAGGTGTTTCTAGCCAAAGGTGGTTGGTTCTTCGTAGTTGCATATATATTTCCCAAATGTGCTATAAGCTATATTCATTTCATTAGCGAAACTACGCAATCTCTCTAACGATATTTTTTGTTGTTCTTTGTTTTCGTTCTATATAAAAATAGACTCGTTAAATTAAAACCATATCAAATCAGACCAAATAATCTCTCAAGACAAACATTCTTCTTCTTCTTGTTAAGCTTGTTAAGCGTGTTTGTTTTATGTCAAGATCTCGAGAGTAATGATTATTTTCACTCGGATCGTTAGTCAGATATCGGGCATGTGCAAATTTATTTTTAACACTTCTTCAACATGTTTAAATATTTACTTATCTTATCATTTAAAATTTTACGAAAATGTGTTTCCAACTACCACTTATCAACTTATAAGAAAGCTTCAAAAATTTGTCTGAGAGGCAGCTCTTGAGAATTTTGCGATTATTATAATAATAGAATTAGAAGTAAATTAAACTCAATTAAGAAAAATATTTTGTATAAGTTTTTAATACAGCTTTGGGCAATAACATCAATGTCGTTATCTGTAAGATTCGCGAAACAAAACGAAAGTGTTTGAAGCAATAAATAATTTCCAACGTTGTTTCTCAACTTATTACATACATATTCACTTGATACATCGGAGTCCCTAGTATTTATAAGAGCATTTCTTTACATGGAAAATATTGTGTTTGCAACCAGAGAAAAAGTTCGATTTCAACTTCTTCTCCAGTCAATTTTTAACTACTAATTGATTGTCTCCTCAAGATCTTAAGAACTCTAAACCCTATCCATCGGGAAATTTATAATATCCAGATATATTTATCTTTACCTGTCCACAGTAACTTTCCAAAAAATGTAATTGTGTATATGGAAATAATAAAATGTGACACGTAAAAATAAATCTTATCAGCATTTCGTTCCCACGAGCCACTTTCATGTATTAGAAATCAAGTTTTTTGTCAACTTCGTTTGATTGATGATAGCCTGTGCATAGAGGGTGCATGTGAATTTTAGCTTCAATTTATTTGCTTAGTTAGTAGCTAAAACAAATATAATAATAAAGGCTTTTGTGGTTGTTATGTGTAAACATTTCCAATCAATTACCTCATTTATTTTATATTTGTCAAAATAATTAATTATTGGTCGTTAGTGACTTTTGAAAATAAACGGTCCCACAATTCTGTGGTCATAAGCAAAAATCGCCTGAGTCTAAAAACCTGAATTCGATAAAAAAAAAACGCTTTAAAACTTTGGATTGTAATGTTAACCTTATGGGGAAACCAAAATATTTTCATCAATAACTTTTAAATAGTGGGAGTTTCACATACACATGGAATAGTAGTTGCAGATAACGATAGCATGAATAACTCAATTCTTTCTTAAGTCGACTTAGGCGGTTATTGCTAGCTTATGACCACAGATTTGTCTTTGATATTCTTTTGAATGCTCGTAGTACATATATAATGATTGAGTACTAAGATTACTTAAAGCAAAATAGGTCGCTGAATACTCTTTGAAAAAGAAAGGTTAGATAAAAATATGTTTTTATAGGCCCAACTTTTCATAGCTTATATGGAAGCTGAATTAATGGGGCGAACAATATTCCACTGGACCACCACGAAGGATAACTAAAGGTATTTGCATAAGCTTGAGTTCTTTGGAGTTGGTTAATTGTTCTGGAAGGGTGGCTGTTCACATAAAAAAAAACAAAAAGAAACAAAAACTAGTAAAGAAGTTTAAGTTCGGGCGAAACCGAACTTTATATACCCGGCGTAGGTATCGGCATTTCAACTTTCTCTGAACTACCTTTGCATAGTAAGTAGGAGTGTTTACTCGATTTCAAATGTTTTCGATAATATGCAGAGTTAAACTTAATGATATAATTGAACCAAGTTAGGCCCAAATCGATAAAGTGGTTACCGAAATACACCTTTGTAGTCATAAAGTGGGCGGTGCCATGCCCAATTTCTAAAGTATATAGCAGTCTTATTTATTGTTAAGAGATGGTTCTAACCAGGGTTAGGATTTAAAGCATTTGCATATTTTGTCTGCTTAGTCGTATCTGTAAACAAATTAAAGAATCACACGTTTCATGTCTTCCTTGATTAAAAATTTTGAAAATTTTGAATTTGCCTTTTTTTTGGCCTTTTTTGACAACAGAAATATCACGAACGATAGGCAAAACGAACGATTCATCCGCAGACGACAACCTCTCTGATTGCGATTTTAAACTCTATCGATCCTCTTCGTCTTGCTTTTCATACATTACGTTGCAATGGTCTCGGTTGCGTTTAAACCGGCTAAAATGATGCCGCCGGACTAATTTTTGAAGCATTTCTCTGCAGACGAATCGTTCGTTTTGCCTATCATTCGTGATACAGAATAAGGCTGTTAATCATCATTCCAACTATCTTCGTCAACGAAATTAGCTTTAAAAAAGTTATCAAACAAGTTAGCAGATTCATTGGGTGATATTGAACTCTTACCCAGATATTTCGTTGACGATGTAAATGTAGAAGAAGTTCGTTTCGATTAATGTTATCTTCGAAACCTAATATATAATTTTTGTAGAGAAATTTATCTAGACAGTTAAATTCTTTGGAATAAGACAGATACTTTTTCTTGTGATCATCAGAACCTGATTTTTTTTACAGCTTATAAAAATTGTTTCTTAAATTTTTTAACTTTTTTAAGCCTTTCGTGTACCAAGGCAACTTGTTAATGGTGACTGCAAGTAATCCACATGGAGTTGCTGGGAAAAGCGCTGAGTGCTCGCAATGACGTTTTACAGACAGGAGAGGTGGATGAAGCCCCAGTAACGGCATCGAATAGGATCAACGCACACTTAATCCTGACTCGATCCATTGATGCGATAGCAAGAGGTTAGGAAGATCGTAGGCGTCATTTGAAAAAAAACATTGAAGTAGGCAGAATCGCCAAGCAACAAATTTAATTTAAACAACCAACATATATATGTAAGCCCCATCTTCCTGGTAATTACCCAAAAGTTCCGCACTTCATTGCCCAATAATCACTCAACCCAATCGAGCTTATCAAGAAGGTAGTATTTCTATCTCTCAATCATTCCAAAAAATGACACTCACATGAAACGCATCAGATACAGTGAACTGTTTCCTAAACTTTCCGCAAAGAACAACGAGCTTACATAAATAAATGCCAAGGGAAGAACGCGGGGTTCAGCAACGTTGCAAATGTACAATCGGCTGTATCGAAAAAGATAAACAATGATGAATGAATTAATTTATTTATTTACTTGTCTATCAAATGACAATACGTTAGTACCAATCGACGGCAATAATCGTTAACACATTCACAACATTACAATTTATCACACTTTTAGTCGAAGTATAAAATTTATGAACCTGCAGCATTTTGGGTTATTCTTTACTCGGCGGCCGTCACATTGCCATCGGCGTCGATATCGCGCGCGCGTTCACTTAAATCGTCGCTTATTTCTCAAATACATGCTTACCTACTTAATACAATTGATACTTTCAAGTGAGCTAAAACAGACGAATAGGGAGAGACAGCAGCGGGTGCAACAGTCAACGGCTACGCTGTTTTAAGATCCCATTAACACGCGATTATATTTAGAGCAAATACGGTAGACAGAGAATTCTCAAAAGCCTCAATAACAAAGAACAATATAAGAAGACGCGACGGCGGCGGCGGCGACGAGTAAGACGAGTAAGTAAAACAGCAGCAGCAGCAGCGATTATTTGATGCCACGATCGGCTCGGCAGCCAAGCGCAATCGAGCGGGACCAGGTCAGACGGCGCGCATAACGACACAGAGCGGCAGATCACCACCCGCCTCAAAGTTCAAAAGCAAAACGACGCGTGATCAGAACGGAACGGTGCCGCATCACCCAAGGCAATTTTTGTGATGTGAAAAAAGATACAGATTTTCAAGAGATTATTTATGTAGAACTTAGATCAAATGAATAAGTGAACGAACAGTAAGTGCTTGACGAGTGCAAAGGTTTAGATATAAATTGAAAAAGGCACTAAAAAAGTGCCAAGAAAACGGTCACTTGTATTATTTAGAAAGAAACAGAATAATTAAATAAAAAACAAAATAAAAATGACATCCTACGACAAGTGCGACAATTCGGCAAAGTCGCAAATGTTGCCGCAGGATGCCACACAAATAATTATGGAATCGGCCAAACCCTTCACCAGCGAAGCGCTGCGACGCAGTTCAACGCCACACACAGCAGCTGGCAAGGTGAAGAAGGCGCTGCGAAATCGGCTGGAAATACTCAACTGGATCGGCGACTACAACACCGAATGGGCGATGAGCGATTTGATTGCTGGCATAACCCTGGGCCTGACCATAATTCCCGAGAGTATTGCTTGCGCCCTATTGGCGGGACTACCGGCGCGCTATGGCCTCTGTTCGGCCTTTCTGGGTTCCTTTGTATATCTGATATTTGGTTCGATTAACAAAGTAATTATTGGACCCACCAGTTTGGTGGCCCTGGTCAGCTTGCAGTTCACGGTGGGCAAACCCATCGAATTCGCCATACTTCTCACCTTTCTTACGGGCGTCGTTGAGTTGATAATGGGAACTTTGCGCGTGGGTAAGTCACTAAGTACTAAGTACTAAATACATACATACATACATACGTGGGTGTTGGGCGCTTATTAGGCATTGAGCTGCTTTAAGTGGCGATTTAGTGAAATTGTGACAAATGCCCAGACTGCCGACAGTGCGCCCCTAATGAGTGCGATAACAATTCTTTGAACGCGCACTGCGACAAGGGAAGCAGGCGCATGTAATATTTTGCGTGATATGAGTTTTTTTTTTTTTTTTTTTTTTGATTACAAGTTACGAGTAATTAAAATGTTAGTAAAAAAAGTAAATGTTATTACTAAATCACGAAAAACAGTACATTTGAATTTACATATTTTGTATTGCAAACTAATTAAAACGTGATTTTTAAATTTGTCGATGAAATTTCGCAACTTGATGTATCAACAAATGAGCAATTTTTCGGTTATTATTGGGCAGTCATTACACTTTTTACATTTCGGAGGCTAACTTTGAAAAAACGGAGAAATTACTTATTTACTTATGACTCAATCTATGAAAGAAATTTGTTTAGTTTGATTATTATTGTTGCTTCCTTTTTAGAAAGAAAAATAATTTTTGCATTTTGCAAAATATTTTGGCATTAGACAATCGAGTCATCAATCAATCAATCAGCGTAATTAATTGATCAGATGAATTTGTCGTTACATGAACTTAATCAATTACACTTTTTAATGCCTCAAATTTTTCTACGTACATATTTTAATATAATATTTTTTTTTTATAAATTTAATTTTAGACTGATATGGTTGTTTACCCCAAAATTTTTTATAAAAAAAAATTATTCGTTTAATAAATAATACCTTTTGAATGCAAAGTTGTTTTTAATTGATTGAAAATTTTAAATTTTTTCATTTTTGCACTTAAGTCATTAAGAAAACCTAACTTGATATGTAATTAAATTTTTAATTTTTAATTATTATTGTTTTTTTTTGCTTGAAAATTTTTTACTGCTAAACATTCTAATTACAAAAAGTTTACAATATATAAAAGCCTGATTAATTTTTCTTTTGTCAATTTTGTTAAGTTTTAATCAATCACTTCTAAAGGAATGTTTTTTATCATAAAAAATTGTTGATATATTTTGACTTGACTTACACTCTTTAATGCCCACGATTTTTCCAGACACATACAAAGAGAATACATACATGTTCATGTACTTCAAAAATATATATTTCAATAAAAAAAATTTATTTTTCCTAAATATGGTTATTTACACCAAAATTTTTATAAACAAAAAAATATTCATTCCATAAATACTTTTTGATTGCAAATTTATTTTTGATTAGTCAAAAAATTTCCAAATACATATTTTTTTTAATTTTTTCATTATAGTAATTTTTAAAACCCTAGGTTAGGTTTATTGATTTATTTTTAGTACATGAAAAAATTTTTGCTGATTCAACTATTATTTTCTAGTCACTATAATGCATTATGTATACAAGGAGATTTATTTATGTTTTCAAACAAATTTTCGCTTTATTTATGAAGCATTCTTTATTTTTTATGATTGTAATTCGGTAGTAGGTAAAGTAAAGAGAATAGGCGGAGACCCGCTTCAAATATATTTTGCAACAGTAAACATTCTTAGACACCTTTGTTTGGATACCCGCATTGTAATATTTCATAAATTTTTTATCAATTTAATTGAATACAATATTTCAAATAGGTGGTAACCCTCCCAAAAACTATTTTCAACAAGTAAACTTCCCTCGATCTTTTCACTTTGATACCCATATTGCAATATTTAATTTATCTTAACAATTAAATTAAATTAAAATTTCCAAACAGGTGGCAATCTTCCACAAAAGTATTTTCCGCTGTAAGCCTTCTCTTTATTTTGACGGTCATATTGCGATTTTTATCTTATTTATCAATTAACTTAAACTGAAATTTTCAAACAGGTGGCAACTCTCTAATATTTTCTCCCACATATTAAATAAGTTAGGCATCGGTGAGAATTGCATACAATTCCATGCATCAGTTTTTAAGTGATAAGTGTAAACGCATACATACAGGCAGGACAGACATACAAAAATTCGAAAAATTGCTGATTTGGCTTCTGTTGCTCTAATAAAGACCTCCCATATTAACCCTGCAAAATTTTGAGGACCAGGTGATCTACTGGGACGTAGTTTTATCGGCAATATGAAGAAGAATAATCGAAAACGGTTCACGTGGTCCAAAGTTATTCGATAACAAACATAGAAAAGTCGGTTAAAAATTGGACATGCATTTAAGACGGCATATTTATCTTTACGTTAGAAACACAACGACGATGTCAGCAAATATTTATATGGTACGACTTTCGAAGCTAAATAAAGGTAATACAACAACTGTACCAATAGAATGTTTATGCCTCAAATTCAGTGTTGTTAGCCTCGTTCTGGGTCTGGGTCTGGGTCTAGGTTTTCCACGGTTACGCATGTGATCTCGTTCATTGCCATCAATAATGTCAATGATCTACTAATCGTTAGCGAAATTTCAAAAAACATCAAATTGCTGTGCAAAAAAAAAATAAAAATCACAAGCTTCTTGACTAGGTAAATATTTTGCAAATATTTTTTTTGTTTAAACAAGGGAATACCAGTATTTTGCAAATGCATATGAATAAATATAATAGGCTTGTTCCACAAGCTACTCGAAGTCACATACGCGTTCCACAAGTAGTTTTTAGAGTTCTTGGATATACGCTCACAGTTTGAAGTTTTCTCGACTTTTTCTACAAGTAGCTTGGTAGCTTGTGGAGCAAACCTAATAACAGTTTTGTGTATTTTTAGTATGTATAAATACATATGTTTTATTGAATAGACTTAGAGTGCGGTTACCCACTAACGTGTACGTAGCGTGGCGTAGAAGTACGTAGTACGTATATCAAGTTTCCTCTTGATAGAAATATAGAGTAGCCAACGTCTACGTCACGGTCATGCGGTGGTGAGTTTTTGTTAACCCACAGATCCCATAAGATAGATAGATAGATCATGTCAGCTGACACGTTCTCCTTTTTTACGTCCGTCCGTGGGTAACTGCGCTTTTAGGGTGGCAAATGTGTGCGTACGGAACTTCAAAACCGGCTGCGTAAACACAGGCGCACCACTATTTATCGAAGGTCGGTGTGACGCGCATCATACAATTGCCAGAAGTGCAGCGCCGCCGCCGCTCAGCATTGCTTCACTTACATACTTATGTACTTACTTAGTAGACAGTGCTCGAATTTTATGTGAGCTTTTATGCTAATTACATTTAACGACTTGAGTTAGAGCGGCACGCAAGACGGCAAACGCTGAGCGCTGAACAATTCGCCTGGTTTACATTTTTCCAATGAGGAAAGGTATATTTCAAGGGCTTTTCATTAGACAAGCCCGTGAATGCATTTGAATGTATGTGTGCTGCCTCGATCGGAGCGGTGCGCCTGCAAGCGGTACGCCATCAAATGCAAGCCATTTGGTTTTTTTCCGATTCGCTTTTAGCTACATAAATATTGGTTTGAAAAATAATAACTGCTTTTTTGATATTCAATGATTTGTTTTTTTTTTTTCTTTTGTATTTGTTGAAACAGTCCTTTAATAAATAATGAATACCGCATTTACAAATGACGAAATCATCGAGTCAATTAAAAACTGGTTAGATTTTTTGCTCCTGTTGCTCATTGGCATTGAATAAAATTTTTAAATTTGTTACCGGTTTTTAACTTAGATGCACACACACATTTATATATACAATATGTATGTACATGCATTCATATATGTAGGTTAATAACCACAATTGCACGTGCTTGTTGGAGTCTAATGAAAAGAGCAGCAGACTCAATCTCATCTTTAATTCATCTAAATGAGTGGAAGCAATTATTCTCTAAAACTGGTAGAAAATAACAAAACAAAAAAAAATAGTACTCTTTTGTTTGGTGTCGTTTGACAAGAAGCAATGTACAGGAATTCGCGAGACACACATAGGTACTTATTTGCATTAGACCGTATCACGACGTTCAATTTGTTCCAAGCGATTCTAAACACTTACTAGGGGAGTTCTTCAGGAAAGTAAATTTTTCTACGGTGTCCTCTAAGGACAACTAAATCGATTTTTTTTTCTGTAACATGATTTCTATAAATAAATTCTACATCGTTGCAAGGGTTTTCAGCAAGTACAAAGAACTATTATCATGTCTCATAAACTTTGCAAGTTACGTTCATTTGTCTGAGAACGACAGCCTGTACGCCAAGTTGTATGCCAGAAAAATTGTTTCCTTGTTTCCCATGTTAAATTATAACACTTCTGCAAGAAAAGTACTAACTGAACTTCATTAAAAAGGAGCTAACTTCTAGTAATTCGAGATTCAAGCTGGCTATGGCGTTCTGGGCTTGGAAAATATATGACCGATGCGCCCTTCACCATGTATTTTTAAGTTTCTTACTACCGATTACAGGGTGTTGTATGTAGGCTCTTCTAGTACCTTTACGACGTTATATTACCTATAAAAATCGGACATGAATTAAAGAAGTTATGGAAAAACCACGATTTAACTGTTCTTTTGGGGTGCAGAAAAAAATGTACAGCCTTAAAATATGTACTCTCTTTGTGTGTGTTCAAAATCGCTTGAAACAAATTGAAATTTTTTGTGATACCCCTGCAAACCATTTTTTCAGAGTATTCTGAATCGTAAAGAAATTTTAACGAATTCGGAAAGATCCCATCCGATTTTTTTCCGAATTTTCTAAAATGAAATAAATTACGCACACTTCCATTCTTTTACGAAATTTCGGAAGAAAATCGGTGAAGAAATGAAAATAATGCTGCTATGTGAAGAATTTCTTGCAGACTTTTTTCAGAATTTTCTTTATTTTTCGTACAGAAATTTCTTTACGAGTTCGTGTCAACCACTTCATATAATTTTCTTTGAAGATTCGGAAAAAAATCGTTACAGAAATCAGATACTCCTAAAGATTTCGTTAAGATTTCGGGAACTTTGGTTTGCAGGGACGCTCCAATGTACGTACATATGTATGTATATTAGGGTGGGCCAAAATTGCATCGGGAAACAAATTTTCCCCCAATTTTCCCGGAACAACTCGAAATTCATGCAACCTTATTACAGAAAGCTACATTCAAAATTTTTTTTTTATTTATTAAAGTTTACTTGTCGCTCAAATGCGTCAAATTTTCCCCATATAATATAAAAAACCAAAAAACTGCATGGAAAAATTTAATATTTCGCAATCTTCGATACAAACGTGCGAAAGCGGCAAAGAACTTAAAGTGACAGAACCAAAATATTTCAACCATGCTACTGTAGGCCTAAATTGCAAAATTTTTTTGGGTTTAAATACATATATATTTATATATATTTTGAACCGACTTGATATAAAAGAGAAGGTTATCAATTCGTCGGAATATTTTTTTTATTTTAATGTATGGTGCCGCATAACTTTACCACCACGTTAACCGATTTTGATAATTCTTTTTTCCATCTCAAGGGTGGTCCCATACTAATTTGGTTTAAGTCCGATCATTTGATCATGAAGAAACTAACGATAATCTTTAATTTTTATTTTTAACCGACTTCAAAAAAAGGAGGAGGTTATCAGTTCGTCGGAATATTTTTTTTTATATATTTACCACATAACTTTGGACCACGTTAACCGATTTCGATAATTCTTTTTCCTTCTTTTATTTCGGAAAGCTCGTACCTCAAGGGTGGCCCCTTACTAATTTTGTTTAGATCCGATAACGATAATCTTAAATATTTATATGAGAATTGAAGTCGGTTTTGTTTTTTGCTTAAAAATTACTTGTTTTTTTTAGTTTTGGAAAAAGTGGCGGCCCTATTTAAAAATATCAGCTTATAAGCTTCTTCAAACACACTTCATTTCATACTTAGAACATTTCGTTTTATTTTTTCTTCGAAACATTTGCTTTTATATGAACCGCCTCAAACCTGAATGAGTATGCACTTAGCACCCACTTCGCCTTATCAATAGCCTATCCACGAGTACGTACACATGTATGTATGTGTAAGAGTAAATAAAACTAGTTATCGTCTAGATCTAGCGTCTTGTTCGAGTAATGCATTCTCAAGTGGAGTAAAAGTAATTACGTGGCATCTTAAAGGCACTTAAGTCAAATTTTTTCATTATTTACTTAATATTAGTTGATTAGTTTGGCGATACTTTGGAAGGCTGGCATTAAAATATTATGGTGGCATTACTTTTTTTTTTTTGTATTGCTTGTATTCACTATGAAGCAATAGCTCAATAATATACTATACTTATTTACTTTCATTCGCATTACCTATGTTAGTATGTATTTACCCAATTCCTAGGCTGAAGAGCCTTCGTCAATTCAAAGTAGCAGGAGAGCCAAACCACTAAAATCACTGGAATCTTAAAAAGTAGCAGGTCCGCCTTCTCTGTCATGGCTCTCAACGCTTTTAACTAGTAGTAACTGAATGCACTCGTATACTTTATTTAATGCAACTTTTAAAATCTACTTGTGCATGTCAAGGCATGTACATGCATGTCATTGCATGCATAAGTGCATACTTAACCACACACTCTAAATACTCATTACTTTTCTCCTCATTTCCCCAGGTGTAATCTTCGAATTCCTCTCCGTGCCCATAATTAAGGCCTTCTCCTCTGCTACAGCTATCCTAGTCATAGAATCTCAGATAAAAGTAATGTTGGGCGTGAAATATCTCGTATCGGGTTTTATTGGATCCATTACTGCGCTGGTACCACGGCTACCTGAAACTAATTTTGGCGATCTTGGCATGGGTTTATTTGCTGTTATATTCCTCATTGGACTTGCGGTAAGTGAAACTAAAAATAAATCAGAGACTAATACATAATTCCTGTTATATCTAAATGCCATTTCTTACACAGCAATTGGAAAAAGTAGCTGATCATCCAA